CTCCCCCTCCTCCCTCCCTCCCTCCCTCCCTCCCCCCTTCCTTCCTTCCTTCCTTTTTTTGATATTAATAAATATAAACTCCCACTAGCCTTTAACGATCAGGAAGAGATTCCTGTCTAATTCAATGGGAAATGAAACGGGAAGGGAAAACTAGAGACTTGCAAGATTCTGTTGCTAGAGTCCATTTCAAGGAAGCCGTCCATGGCACCCACCACCCTGTGGAACATTACCCCACCTCAGATTAGGTGAGCCCCCATCCTGCTGGCTGTTTGCAAGGCCCTAAAGACATGGTCTTGTATTATGCATTTTATTGATCTATTTATTTTATCTAGTAGTCTATTGTACGCCACTCAGAGGTGGACGGGGATATAAATCAAATAAATATAGTCTTCCCGCGCAGGCAGTTTCCTGGTTTGTCTCACAGGGCTGATACCAGGCCAAGGCCAAGATACTCACGCTGCCCCCAGGCACCCCTGTGCGATCCCACGTGAGGGTCAGTTCGCTGGTCTGTCCGTTGCCAGAGTTATTGAGGTGGCCTTCGACCAGCACCGCGTACTTATTCCCTCTCTCAGTGCTGGGGAAGAGGCGTTCGGCCCCAGGACGCTGGAGTAACAGCTTCTCTTTCTCCTGTTGACCTGCCCAACTGCCCACCTTCTCCTGCAGGGGAAGCAACCCGGGATAAGCAGAGAAAAGACTCAGGCACTAAGAAGTGAATTGGGGGGGATAAGCCAGAAGGGATTCACCTTCTGGGAATCGTTTTGGTCTATGGTTAAGCTTCTGGCCTAGAAACCAGGAGACGGTGAGTTCTAGTCCCACTTTAGGCATGAAAGCCAGCTGGATGGCTATGGGCCAATCACCAGGAGACAGTGAGTTCTAGTGCCATTTTAGGCATGAAAGCCAGCTGAGTGACTTGGACCAATCACCGGGAGAAGGTGAGTTCTAGTATGACTTTAGGCATGAAAGCCAGCTGGGTGACTTGGACCAATCACCGGGAGATGGTGAGTTCTAGTCCAAACTTCAGGCATGAAAGCCAGCTGGATGACTTGGACCAATCACTAGGAGACGGTGAGTTCTAGTCCCAATTTAGGCATGAAAGCCAGCTGGATGATTTGGACCAATCACCATGAGATGCGAGTTCTAGTCGCAATTTCAGCACGAAAGCTGGCTGGATGAGTTTGGGCCGATCACCAGGAGACGGTGAGTTCTAGTTCCAGTTTCAGCATGAAAGCCAGTTGGATGACTCTGGGGAAATCACCAGGAGATGGTGAATTTTAATCCTGCCTTAGGTATGAAAACCGACTGGGTGACTTTGGGCCAATCACCAGGAGACAATCAGTTCTAGTCCCGCCTTAAGCATGAAAGCCAGTTTGGGCGATTTGGGGCCAGTCCCCCTCTATCAGCCCAACCCACCTCACAGGATTGTTGTAGATAAAAAGAGGAGAAGGGAGGAATATTATGAACGTTCACCCCCTTGAGTTACTTATAACGTAATCTATGCAGGATAAAAACATATCTAAATCTAATCTAATTCAGCCAGCAGATCCACGTCAACTGACTGAATCCGTGATGATCACAAACAAAAGATTTGATTCTCTTCTAAACCAGAGCAGGCCTGCAGCTGCAATACGACTGTTTTGCGGTGATGCTTGCGTGCAGAGTCAGCCTTTTCAGTAATCCCCGCACTGCTATACATTTCCAAGCTTCAGGAGACAACTCGCTTCCAACAACACAAGTCAAAAAGCATGTTCTTACCAGCTCCGATGCGCCAGGGGCGCGGGCTAATTTAGCAACCACAAACAGGCGCTGGATGCGTGCCCAAATGGAGATGTCTTCAGCAGGTCCAGAGCTGCTCACCAGGGGGTGAATGAATCCCTTGTAGACCAGCGAGACGTCCATCTCTGTGCTGGGATTAAGGGTGATGGTGGTGCTTCGGACAATGGAGACCTAGGGTAAGCAAC